TCTTTAGACGTTTTATATGCTTTAAGGGGGTTCTAATATAATGGTCGATACTTTTACATCATCTATTATAGATGTACTTAACATTTAATAAGGTGAGGTAAAGCAAAAAGAATTTGCGCAATTTTAGCCAAATGCACACTACTGCTCGTATATGTACTTAATTGTGCAGCTTTGCCTTAAGGATTTTTATATGTCAAAACAGGATTAAAGAGCTGCAAAATTAATTCGCTGCATATGATCTAAAGTATGGCCTTGAAATATATGTGCAGAGATAGTATTGCATTTGGAAATTTTGAGCATACGTCACTGTGGATACTTGAATGAAAAATATTGAAATTATGGTAATAATGTTTGCCATTGCTGTAAATGATGTGGAATTGGAAATCTATTAAATGATTTGCTCTCACTACTGCCCGCCACCCTGCCTGCCTGCCTGCCTGCTTGTCTACTTTCTTAAAGTTCATACTACTTACTGGTTTCTTCCTTCAATGAATAGAAAGAGTTCTGAAGGTCTTTTTCGCAAATAAGTACGAACCGTGAGTAATCGTTACAATGCTATTCAAAATTTATATCATTCAACCGTTATTTCTATATTTACGAATAATGGACAAAGATAAAATTGCTCCATCTCTGTGACAAATAATCATTTGGCAATCTGCGACAAAACATGGAATTTCAGAGTAAGTATTACAATCTACATTTTCAAGTAAAAAGGTACAAATCGTAAGTAAAAGGGGACTCAACTGTATTAACAATATAATATTATAAAACATAATACAATTAATATCAATATAAAATGATTACAATTCGCTACAATAATAAATGCATAAAATTAATTTCTGACACAAAGTGTAAACTTTAATATTATTTTATACAAGCTAACAAGTTAGACCTGCGCTCGGTATTTTGAAATAATGCTCTAATTAATTGTTTAACTTGAGAAGGTGTAAATTCACGCGCGAGCGGACCTTTGCCACTTCCCCATCTAACTTCAATTTCTTTCAGTGAAGCGCCGAGTACTTTAATTAGTTCTAAAAACTTCTCCCATTTCCTTACGTGTTGATGAATCTTCTGAGGATCCTGAAATGCATAATGATTTTCTTACAAATATTACCAAATAGAATAATATCATTCCAGTTTCATTTTACAGGAAATGCTGATGGAATTTGTTTCAAGACCAAATTATTAATAATTACATTTTCACTGTAATTTTTAATAAAAAATCTTTTCTGAAGTACTTGTTCACATGCTTTCTTCTACATAAACTTACCGGAAATATTACTGGTGCCCGTTTTACTATCATATTGAATAGTGTTCCCAAATCAGTTGCAACATCAGCAGGAATGTCTTCAACGGATACTACTCTAATTATAAGATCTTCAACCATAGAATTCATGATACATCCTAAAATGGCATTAATATATGGAAATAATATTAGAAGCACTTCTAATTATGTTCTTCATTAGAAAATAGAAACTGACCTACAGCTCTGCAATATATATTTACAGGTAAAACATCTAGCCAAACTGTTTTGAGTAACTCTAATTGCCGAATACACTGCCTGAGTGCACGTTCTGTGTTAGGCTGCAACTCTGAACTTTGTCCTAATGCTGACAAACCTTATTTAACAGAAACGTTAATTAAATATTATTAAAATGATTGATAACTACTGCTATGAACTGTTCAATCGAGAAATTCGGTTGTTACTAACCCGATTCTTTGAGAATGTCAAAAATAATAATTCGTTGGTATTTCATATGTTCTAAGAAACACGTTGATCCGACGTTTCTTAGCATTAATATTTGATCAGCGAAAGTTAGATTGTAATTTTGTAAAGACTTCGGTAACTTGTCCCTATATTCGTGTCCCAGTGTGAGAAGATGATGAGCGAGATACATACAATTATTATGGAATACGGCTGATTGAAAAATACAAAGGATTAATTAGAGCTCTAACAAATTACTATTGACACGTCTATTAAAATCATCAAAGTTCTCACCGACTTGTTGAGGTATTGTTTCCAGAAACTTCCGGTGATGTTCCGGTACTAATCCCGAGTACATTTCAAAAACATTTCTACACGTGTAAAATAATCGAATGGCGCAGGAATCCGAATTACTGCATGCTTCATCCAGAATACTCCTTGCAAGGTCTAACGTCTCCTTTGCACTTTTACTAAAACGCAGTTTACACAATCATTTCGTGAAACATTATATTAGAACTCTGTCTATGATACAATCAAAGTTTTTGAAGTATCTAATACTTAGAACTGTTTTCAAATCATTCATTTACCTTACTTGACATTTAGGAAGTTGAAATGTTTTGTCACTTAATTTCATATCAACTTTCATTTCGCTATAGTCAGATGCATCATCGGGAAACTCAGGTGGTTCCTAAGATATGAATTTCAGAAGATTATTTATACACTTTGGATAATCAAGTTTAATTAGAATATTTAATTAAAATACCTCTGGTTCATACGTGATACAGTCGTGTAAGTCTTTCTTCATAATATTTCGCGCTTTTGCTAATAAATCTTGACAAATTCGTTCAATAAAAAGCTTGTCAATGTTTTTCGTGTACTCCGACAAAAATAATTCGTCCGATGTTATGAAACCTGAAATCATATAAACAATTACACTCCGAAAAAACTTTTTGAAAATCGACATTATTGCAAATGTACCAATTTCAACCAAGAAGTATTGAAAATCGTAGATTGCCTGTACGATGGGCGTAAAGTTTTTCAAATCAGCGCTGGACGTTGGAACAATTCGTGAGATGCAATTGTTTGTCAGGGATGTCGACAATTTGTCTAACAGGTGCGGTTTTATCTCTTTTAGAAACGTTTCCTCGTCGTGTATGATTACATTAAGATGTTGATGGAGGAATTTGAACAACAATTCCAAATTGTATAGAACACACTTATAGCCTGGTGACTTCTTCTTATTCAGAATTTCAATGGTGAATATTTTTTCATTAACTACATAGATGGAACAATCATCATTAATGGTGGGGTTGATCACGTATTCCATGAGAGTAGTAGCAAATTTATGTAAATAACTTGAAAGATTATCAATGCAATGCAACCCCTGAAATAATTCTTGCATATCATCGAATTCATTTTTGATGCTTAGTGTAACTGTGGACGAGTTTTCATCGTCGATGCCAGTCCAACAGATCCGTTCGTACAACAATGAGGATGTATCATACAAAAAGGAAGTGTATAGATTCAAATATCTTTCCTCAATCGCTGTATAAATATCGAGTTCACGAAGATCGCTTTGAGGATTATACAGTATCATTTGCATGCGACATAGCGTTTTAGCTGCATCTATATACCGTTTCTCCTGTTCATAATTCTTTATGGATTTTTCACATTTGTGCAGGGTTAAAAGTTGATTAGAAAGTTGCAACATCATGTTTGATTCTTTCAGTGCTTGCGACAATGTTTTCAGTTCTTTTGTGGAACCTGACAATTCTATTTTCACCTTAACAACAATTAATAAATAAGAATTATAATTGTAAATAATTGATACTTATGAATTTTCCATAAATTTTACCACGTACCTGATCATCTATTCTTTTTTGTAATTCATTCATTTCTTCAAGTAGCTTTTCTCCTTTTGATACTAAATGCTGGTCCCTTGTAAGTTTCGATGTAAATTCAACATAATTATCATCCATAAAATCTTGAACATCGTACTTCAATTTCGTTATTTCTTTTTGGATTTCAGATATTTTTTCATTCAAATTAACTTTGTCCAATTTACCTAAAAGTCAAAACAATACAATGAAATTTGAATTTTTTGCACAGATTTAAATTTCACGAATACAAATAAATAATTCGAAGACGAAAGCAAACGATAAAATGCAATAATAATCATTTGCCTTATTCTTTTTAAATATTTTTCGCGGGAAATTTTGTATGTATGCAAATTCGATGCATTGCATTAATCTGTATACGCACCTGCTGTTATCAGCACGTCAGTTAAAAACGACGTCATATTTTGTCTAAACGATTATTTCCTATTTCTTAATTATCTGTTACTTGGTGTACATTAACATTTGAGTAACAATGTTTATAATAATTACTTATAAAACATCAAATAACCTCCACGTTTGTTTCCATTCTACCGTTCCCACTATTTACCATGATTGACAGTCCGTTGCGCGATTACTACCAACTGACTCGGTAATAGTAACCACTTAGTAGTGAGATCTGGGTAATCAGTGTAGCAGTGTAATTTAATATAATTCGAGAATAATATTAAATAAATAATTACACATAGAATATATATTAATCTTGAACAGAATATTTCAAAATGTAATACAAAGTATTAGTCGAAGAATACAAGATTATACAATGCATTGAATACTTCGATAAAGTGACATGGTAATTTGAATGCCACCTAGTACAAAATGGTCAGCACTCATTGACGAGTAGCTTAGACGTTTTACCACGGATGGCGGTAAATAGGTAAAACACAGCAAGGTATAGGACATACATGTAATATAAAGTTCTCTCACACACCCTCGGGGGTTCTAGCACCCCTTACCATTTTCGTGTCACGTCCTATCTTAACGACTAAATCAGTTTTGCATGGCAGCGCTATAAGCGCTAAGAATTAGAATCAAAAATATTGAACACAGTCTTAACTCTGACTTTTTACGCAGTCGGTAATTCAGACCACGTGACACCAAGTCCCATAAGCTTAATGTCTATCTATACCTCGTCTATGGTGAAAATGTAAAAATGTAAATTTACAATAACTACAAACGTATCCAAAAATGAGTTCAGTATTATTTTAAAATGCTGCATAATATTTAACCATTACTAATTAGTAAATAATTGTTTCCATATGAAGTACACAGTACAAAGACGTAAATCAAGCTTGGGAATTTTAAAGGAAAGTATCAGCTGTTAAAAGCAGATAATTCTTGAATTACATTTCTATACGATTCCTATGGTATAATTTTGTACATGACATTGAAAACCCCGCTGTTCATTATTCAGTAGTGACATGTGTCGGTAGAGGGTACCGGTACTCTCCGAAAAGAACGTTACACGGAGTGTCTATACCCTGTCATGTAACGTGGTGGTAGCAGTGGTAGAAGATGGCAAGAAACGAACGAATCGCGTGCTAATGCGAACGAAGCTAATCGAGTATTATTCGCGACGGCCGTGTAGTTCTCGGTATTGTCGACGTCCTCGAGATTTCGGTGACGATATACTGTCTTGCTTGGCGACGATGTGAGAAGCCGAAGCGAAGCTCGAAAGGGGGGTAAGAGTTCGGCGAACGGAACGGCCGAAAACTCTTGCAGCCGATGTCAAACATGCGGCGACCAATTTCGCAGAAAAGTCTACCGAACCGACGGTGTGTTTCGGCCAAGATTTGTCAGTGAAACCAGTGCCAATGAGCGTGAATATATGGCGGCGCGAGTACTTTTACTGAGCATCTTGTTTACAGAAGTGCTAAAGCCCGCTTGTGCCGCAGGTGCGTCTCCCTCCTCTCCTCCTGTCTAATCTGTTTATGTTCGCCAAACTTGATACACGCTGGACCACGCGCTAACATTTTTCTCGTATATCTCTTCTTCGCACGCCGTGATTGATCACTGATTCCGACGTTTCTGCCTTGCCAGGCGCATATTATTAAATATTACGTTAGACTGTTTTGAATCTTTCGGACCGTCGCATGTAGATTGTTATTCGCAACTGTCGGTCACTGCGTTTTTTACAATACCACGCATTTGTAACATAGACATGACACTTGCTTCGAGCTTCTTAGAATGTGTTTTTAAGTTCTGTTTTTTTAAATGTGGTTTATATGTATTGAGAGTGGCGCAGTTGCAATTGTTTGGTTTTCAGAAGTTCATGTAATAGTTCCTTTGGAAGTAAATTAAATTGTTAGTTTAGATTCTGTGTGGAATTAATGTAGTAAAGGTCTCAGTTGAGGATGTTTAAGTATGTAAGATCCGTTGAACTTTCTTGATGGATCGCATTGTTTAAGTGTTTCTTATGTTAAATGAGAGGGTGAATAGTTATGTTCATGTAATGATGCTTTATGTATTTTAGGTGTCAAAGAAATTGGAGCCGGTTTACACAACATAAACATTTCTAAACCAGAAAGCTTCAATACTAGTCCCACCAAAGGTTCTGGCGTAACATTAGAAATTCAACCCAGTGGTCATGTGATATTAGGAAAAAAAGGAATTATACTTAGTTGTATAGCAGGTTCAAATCAAAATGTATCTTGGTTACACAATGGGATATCAGCACCACCATGTGGTATTACGCGTTGTACGCTTCTCCGTAATGGCTCTCTTCATTTACATAAGGTATGTCTTTATAAGTATTAAATAATTAAAAAATACAGAAATTAATCTTATCCTTCCTTCATTTAATAGAAAGATTCATTCACATCAGTATTATTTCATTCCTGTTATAGATGGTGCAAAAGTTTAAAGAAAAAAATAATACTACAATTAATTTTAGAGATTACATTAAAGATGAGTACCGTTGTGTAACACATACTAATTTAGGAAGTCTACGATCATCTCCTACATTTATACAAATAGCTGGTATTTACCTTGTTAACTATCTTATTAAATGATTTAATAGTCCAATCAATATTAAAAGACATGAGTTTACTTCTTTTCAGAACTTGCCCATATATTTAAAGAATCACCAGAAAACATAACTGTACATGAAGGTGAAGTAGCAAGATTATCTTGCTTAATAGATAGTGTTCCTTTTCCTCCTAATGTCACATGGCAGCATAATGGAGAAAAATTATTGCCCAATCATAATAACTCAAAGTAAGGAATTTTTATGATATAATGATCATCAATAAGTTACATAATTTTTATTATACATTAATATACTTGCTTTATAGTAGTAGGTATTTTATGGTACCACCAGGTGTTCTGTACATAAAAGCAACGAAGTTATCAGATGCTGGTTCATATAGGTATGTGTAGTAGTGTGCATTGGAGAATTATTCACATATTCAGAATAGAGAATATAAAGTGAAGTATATATGTGTTTTTATAGATGCATAGTAAATAATGAATTCCTAAAGAAAACCAAAAAAAGTAAAGAGGCAAAATTAACGGTTATCTCTCGACCAGAGGGTAACGGGTCGTATACGCCACCGTTGTTGTTTCCACAAGTTTCATACAATCATTGGTTGTTAAATGGAACAAGTCTTACTTTAGCATGTGCTGCATCTGGATATCCACTTCCACTTATGACGTGGACATTTATTCCTCGCTATACTGGTAACTTATTCATATCCGCGTTTCGTTTAAACACTTCAAAAGATCTTACTCTAATCTGTCATCTGTAACTTTTCAGATAATCTTAATGTTGCACAACCTCGCATTTTGCTTAATTCTAGTATTGGAATTAGTATATTGTCATTAGTAAATGTGAGTGTATCTGACGCAGGAGTTTATCTATGTTCTACAAAAACTATTGTTGCAAATAATTTGGAGATTCAGGTTCGTCTGTGAATTATATTGTAATTGTTTCTTCGCGATTCGAACGACATTTATATCAAAACCCATTTCAGAATATTACAGTGGATATTTTGGTACCACCTACGTTTTTGAAAACACCTAAAAGCCAAGTTTGTCCGAATGGAAGAACTGCAAGATTTGAGTGTCAAGCACAAGGGTTGCCTGTGCCTAAAATATATTGGTTGAAAGACTCATTAAATATTACAGTAAACGGTAATTACTAACACGGCTAACAATTAAAGATCGAGCTGCTATGTAATGCATGTATGATTTTGCAGGACGTAGGACTACATACGTGAGAGAACATAATAAAATGGAGTTGGCAATATCAGCAACAGTTCCTTCTGATTCTGGCATTTATCAATGCGTTGCTGTAAATTCAGCTGGAGAAATTTGGGCCGCAGGTCGGCTTCAAGTGAATACGTCTCGTAATAGTCCTGCTGCACCTACCTCTCTAGAATGTCGTGCTCTATCACCAGTTAAAATTTTTATTTCCTGGGTTCCACCAAAGTCTCTACCATACACCAGTATTACAGCTTATACCGTCCATTACAGTCCCGTAGGTGAGTGAATTCATAAAGAATTTTAAATGAATAAGAATATGGATTTCAATCAGATATTCCATAATCAATTCCCATATATTGTATTTATGCAGAAGGAGGTAAGGAAGAAGTTTCACCACCTGAACCTGGCAATTCTACATCGGTAGAAGTGACGAAGCTTCTTGAACCGTTTACTAATTACTCCTTCTATGTGCGAGTGTGGAACAATAATGGTCCTAGTGACCAATCAGCCACCATTTTGTGTTCTACAGCTCCAAGTGGTACGTTAATTTTTTCTGTATTGTTTCCTTTTTTTTTCTTTTTTATTTATGTGAGAATGTGATTAAGAATGCTGTATTTTTCACAGTTCCTATAAGTGTACCAAAAGTAAAAGTGAATATAATTAGTAGTACAAAATTAAATGTATCATGGGAACCACTGACGAAGAAGGAGTCTCGTGGTATCGTCGTACAATACAAATTATTATTGAGACGACACGAACAACCGTCTTCTCGTGCTCTTCATTTTCGTGCTAATGTTGAATCTTACATACTTTCCGGTATGAATTTCCTTTTTTCTTAATTACTCGGTAATAAAGATTGCACAATCTGTGATTAAATTTAATTGTTGGTTATTTGTATCTGATTAGACTTGAAACCTGGTGCACAATATGATCTACGAGTATTAGCGAAAACAGATGTAGGCTGGCCTAATATGAGCGAATCACAGTTGGAATGGACCACTGTGACTATGCCATCCGCAGAATCAATTGTTATCAAAAATATTGTGGATATACAAGTACTACTTGTAAATTCTTCAGTTGTGAAGGTTTTTACATTCTTGGAATTACGCATTATAACGTAATATTTATTATTGTTTTGTTACGTTCGATTTTTTGTGTTAGGTGAAATGGAAAATAAATGTTAAGGAAAATGATAAGATTGAATCAGAATTTGAAGTTTGGAAAATCTACTGTGAAAATCAAAATGGATATAAATTAGCAAGTATTTCTTTACCACAAAATATTACTGAATATATGTTTACTAATCTCGGTGAGTTAGTGTTAGTATTGGTACGAGTAGTAGTATTTTATATTTTATTAAAGAATTTCATTAATTTATTTTTCTGTCCAGATGTAAATGTATCGTATACGGTGGGTTTGTGTATGATGAAGTCTGGTGAACCAACTAGTTGCCTGACAAAACAAATTGAAACTATCCCACCAGATACAAGTGAGTGTCCTGAAAGTATAAACTTCAATGATAACGGTACAATTGTTTATATATAACTAACACTTTCATCTTTAACTTAGGCAATGTACCAATGGCGTTGGAAGCTATTCCTATTTCATCTACTTCCATTAACGTAACGTGGTCATTGAGTGACATGCATGAAATGAATTCTTTTGAACTGTGTTACCAGTCCATTCATACAACAAATTTAGAAGGCCCTAAATGTATTATATTGTGCGTATGATAGTCACTACATTTTATTTGAGCCGTTTATTCTTGTTTTAATTATCAAATAACTATATAATTCATATTTTTAGAAACTCTACCAAGGCAAGTGTCAACAATCTTAAACCATTTACGCTATATCAATTTAAAGTAAGAGCTATTCAAAACAACACAAACCAAAGCAGTTTCTATAGTGAAGCTATAGAATGTTATACTAATGAAGACAGTTAGTAGACATATATATATATATTCTTGTAAATTAATATAAAGTAGCAGGTTAATAATTTTAATGATTTTAGTTCCTGGAAAGGTGGAAGAGGTACAATGGTTCTTGGTAAATAATACAAAAGTACGAGTTGCATGGAAGGAGCCAAGCAATATAAATGGCATAATACAAAATTATTTTGTCATATATACCATGGATTTAATGGATTCCATGACCACGTGGGAAAACGTGACGGTACCTGGTAACAAAACGTCGGCGATTTTATTAGGTTTGACTCCAGGAAAACGATATTTCGTTATGGTTCAAGCTACGACAAAAGCCGGTTATGGTAAACCCTCTGATCCGATCATTATCATCACCGGTGGTAGTGTATCAAAAATACCTGTTTCCCCAGACGAACAAAAGCCATCGCAAAACGTAAAACCAGATCAGAGTCTTGGTGAGCGATATTGATTACATAAAGTTAATTATTTATACGAGCTATTTTAATTAATCTGGCGTTCCATTAGATAAACCATATACTTTCTTTTATATGTTAGTTATTATATATCATTCAGACTTTAACACGGCAATATATCTTACGTTTAGGTGTGATTCTTGGCGCGAGCATAAGCATTGGATTTATCACAATCTGTCTGTGTAGTATGTATTGTCGAAGAAAGTGGGAGAATGCTCGTATTTTGAGAGACAATGTGCAGGCAACGAAAGGACGTTCATTGGTACGAAATGGGAACAGGTGTTGCGTAGAAGAGACCTCTACGTCGGTGAGCCAGCAAATGAACACCAGGGTAACGCCCAATGAAATTGAACTTGCTGTTCTTTGCCCATCGTCTCCGATCACGACAAATCCACATTTAGATACCAAGGTACGTGAACGTCAACAATATTTATTTGTGTACGTGTACTGAATGGTTTTTTCATTGTTGCAGGGTGGGAAATCAAACGGAATTCTTGAATCCTGTGCGAAGGAACCTTTACTACCGTCATGGGAAGTTAATGGTGAGCCTAAGGATATTCAAATAACAAAAAGTTCACAGGTACGAACAGTAATGTTAAATAGCATAAAGAATTAGTGAAAGTGATTGGTACTCATATTAGTACACTTTGAATTACAGTACAAAGCAAAGGACAGCGTTGTCTTCGTTAAACAAACGCAAGAGCATGAACTGGAGCCAGATTTGGAAGGCACGCAGCTCACGATGGTCAATTGTACTTTAGGCAGTAGCAGTAGCAGTTTAAACAACAACTCGGGATGTCCGGACGGAGATACATCCTTGTCGAAATCTATATGTATATCTGTTCCAGCGCTTGGACCAAACGGATGAAAGCAGTAGGCAATACGATCCGAGTATTTCACACTTTCTTCCTCTGTTACTGTTACAACAGGTAGGATGCAAAAGTTTTTCCGGTGGCTCAAATCAACGTGTTAATATGTATAGTAAAAGAAGTGTACACGTGGGTTGAAAGATGAAACGCGAATGAAAGTTCTCAAGCAAGTAGAAGCAATGCAAGTTACTACACTCTACGAGTTGAATATGACACAGTTTGTAAATGGGAATGCCACGATGGATTCGTAAGTAATGTAAATAATAGTGTCATAGAAACGCGTCGAATATGAGAACAGGCTGTTGTAAATAATATTTTCAAGCAAGTTATTTCATTGAGAACACACAGTATTCCTGAATTAATGATTCGGTGAGAAATCTAGTGACTTTTAGATTTCATGTTTTGTTAAATGGTACTGTGCTATGGATAAATCATACGAATGATACTTAAATATTCATTAGCTAATTTGCTCACATGAGTTGACGCCTGGAAATTACGAATGAATCTTTAAGGCACGAAAGAGATTCTTGATGTTTCTGTAAATAGGATTAATTATCAATCTGTGAATATGTTTATAAAAATATCATGTTTTTCGAATGATAGCGAAAGATAAGTAAATAATGCATTCCTTTTATACTAAGAAGGACAAAATTCATGAATATTCGGATACAGGCCTAAGTTAATTCATGATATATATATACATATTGCTTTTGAAAGAAGCAATAGTACCGATCATTCCACATTCTTACATTTTCCGTTAGCCGAATCTAAATTAGCAAGAGGAGTCTTTTATTTTTTCAATGATTAAGCAATGGAAAAGATAAACTAATCAGATCTTAACGGATTCGAAATAGGACTTAGATTTGCTTTTTAATCCCAGTGCTACCAACGCAAGTACATGTATAGCATTTAAAACTTCGACAAATATTTATTAAAGAGGTGGACGTCATCTCAAGCACTTTTTGAAATGAAAATAATTGAGGTGTTCATATTAATTTAACGAGGTCTTTATATTATATGTGTAATCATTGTATTATACACTATTGAAAGCATATAAAAGTGAACAGGAAAAAATAAGATTAGATTTTTAAAGGAAAATCTTCTAAATTTTTTAACACTATGTACAAACATCTATAAAAGACCATATATAGTTTTAAAATATATATTAAAATACGAACCTAGTAATTGGATAACGCAGTTATATTCTAAATATTTTTTCCTGTTCAAAATGTCAGTTTACGATAAAGATAAATCTTACGTTGTACAAGACATTTAAAGTTAACTACAACATAAAAGAAAAAAAAAGAAAGAAAAGGGAAGAACGAAACAAAACTACAAAATGTATTCCAGACTGGTGCATGTTACCATGACAGAGAAGAAACCCAACACAGTACCTGATAGAAATAAGCTATATCTTTTAGAGTGAGACGTAGATATGTCATGTTATATTATTGTACCTCCATTAATTGTTATTTATTACATTTTACACGTTCAGTACTACCACATTCAGAAAATGATCACATACACTGAATCATGCAATAACGTAGTCACTACAAGCACAGTATGAAACCATGTAAAGATAGAATCAATTCAATCTGCACATGCTAGAGATTTTTATTGTACAGATTTCTACAACTTTATATGAAATAATTTGTTAAATATTATAATTTCATATCATTTCTAGGAAAGAAAGGAAAAGAAAAGAAAAGAAAGGAAAATACTTCTGCCTTACGTTAAAGACATGTTACTATTAAGGGTGCGTTAATACCATCTGTTCAGACAGGTAACGTTGTGTAAACAACTTTTTGTCTAAATGTAGACGTTACGCGTTTGAACGGATAGCATGAGCGCACTTTAAAACAGATTTTTTATATAAAACATACTCTGCAACAATACTTTCTTAAGCATAAATTACGGTTTACTTATGTTTCATTAAAACTCAGTACCAATAGATTTAACAAGACTTTAAGAACGAAATAGTTACAAGATCTGATTGATTTTAACAAAAATAGAAAGATGAAAATTTCTTCAGTTGCACTCCATGTATAGAAATTTGTTTCGCATTACATAATCACGTTTTTCTTATCAGAATCTCATTTCATAGAACGCGCGATACGTATTTATTCTTGACATTGAAACACAACAAATTCGATTTGTTGCAAACATATTTTTCACAGATAAATTTTGCTTGTTCTGTGATTTTTTTTGTATTTAAACGATTTGTTTTCCATTTGTTATTGTATTTAACTTGAACCTGTTACATTTTACGTTACTGACATATAATGGTATACTTTTATATTTGTTGAAAGTATTTGTTACTCTTCTTAGAGTTGAATGGGGAAAACAAGAATCGATAATGTGTAATCAGTAGGCAACTATGAATTATCTTGATCGCTCATATATACATTTGTTTTCCTTTTGCATTGAACTCTCTTTGGGAAAATTTCTAAATATTTTTTCGCACTGTATGTATATGTTAATTATATTAAGCTTGTGTAATTTTATAATATTAACGGAACTTTAATAATTCTAAGGAAAAAGGTATTATTGTTTTTATGGATAAAAAGGAAAGAGAGAAAAG